TTTCTCCTTTGGATTGTTTAACACAACTTAAATTACCAAGGTTCCATGAAGAGTTTGTCTTGATTCATAAGTGAAACAGGAGCTATGGAGAAAGCGTCAATATTTCTAGTCAAAATTTACACACAGGCGCAAGAGTACGAACCCTCTCCACGGCGGCGCCACCACCATCTGCCGGGGTTTCGACACTGCAATTCACAATTGAACACCAAGCAAGCAGGCGGAGAATCCTGACAACCATGGAAGCCGCATCAGGATTCTTTGTTGGGAGCTGTTTGGCTAGTTCTGAAGCAGAAATAAACGCACCAGGGCTTGTTTTTTTCTTGATCTCTAGAAGGTCAAGTTCAATGGCGGTTTTAAGCCCCATTGGAAGTACAGAAGCACTGGCCAGCATGGCAAATAAACAAGCCTCATCATCATCTTCTTCCTCCATTGGATATTCTGCATTTTCCAGGTTTCTCTTAATTACTATTGAATATAGTTTTTGGCTCAGCAAAAGTTGTACTTATTTTTTATTCGGCTCAAGGCCAGTGAGAATTTTCCTGCGACGAGGTGGTGCCAAGTTGCCGCAATTTTTCCAGTTGGCGTAGTGTTATTGTGTCCAATGACAAGCAAAAACTAATTGAATATTCCTCGAATTTGTTTGCCATTTCGATAAATGATATAATTTGTTGGAATTCTTAAAGTGATACACTCTCGCAGGGCTAGAGGTGTCAAGACGGACGGGCCGACCAGACCCGTGAAAACAGACCCTGATCGACCCGGGACCCGAGCGGACGGATCACGTGTCAAGGAGGTGTGACCCGCGGGCTTCGCGGGTTGCACCTTCACGAGCCGTGGTTAATCCGCTGGCCCATGAAATAAATAAAAAATTTACAAATTTTGAAAAAAAGGTGTCTCCCCCAACTAGCTTGCTGCAAGCTGGCAGGCAGGTGCCAGCTTGCAACCTGGCACCTGCATGCTATAATTTTTTTTATTTTATTATTTTTTTCTAACGATAATAATCTCTATTTCATCTATGAATTTCAGTTAATTGGTAATATTTATCTCACTTGTAGCATTCCAAAAAAATTATAATAAAAATATGTGTCAACCTAGTTGAGATGTACTTATGCTATAAATTTTGATAGTAGTAATTAGAAATACATTTAGTTGTTATTTGTTTAAGTTAAATTTAACTTTGCAAAGTTATAAATACTTCATGTAACATTAAATTTGAATTCTATGTAAACTTTTCTTGGTATAAATATGAATTTATCATTTTGTTCAATTCTTAGTTTACATTTAATAAAAAAAAAATTGTTATCAATGTAAAAAAAATTTTGGAACAACTCGCGACCCATAACTCGTGACCCATGACCCGTGTGGGCTCGACCCGAANCGGAACCCGTAGCGGACGGACTTTTTTTCACCCGGTCTGTAACCGGGCTCATATGTTGGCAGGCCGACCCAGCCCGACCACCTGGATTGACACCTCTATGCAGGGCCGTATATTCTTCGTACTGATCAACGATAATTACAATATCGGGTTCAGGCTTATCTAAAGAGGAGCCCTCTCTTCTGCGTAGCTGCTTCAGCTTCGACCGCTCGAGTTGTATTATAGAGATGAGATGTCGAAAGATAGAGATAGAATCGAGGCAGAGACCGAGTTTACCTTTTTTGCCAATAAGCAATACCGATTCGATCTGAACTCCTATTCTATCAACTTCTTAGCCTAAAAAATGTAATCTTTCTCGATAAAGTCGATTGATTAGGGTAAAATTGTATCCCTTAGGAACCTTGGGGGATCGTCACTCTTCGTCCCAGCCATTATAGCACATGTGTTGCCCAAGACATAAGGGGCATGCCGACTTGACGTCATCTTCACCTTCCTCCGGCTTATCACCGGTAGTCTGTTTAGGGTTCCAAACTCAATGATGACAATTAAACACGAGGTTGCGCTCGTTGCGAGACGCTTGTTACGTTCAAAAGTAACTCCCTTAGGATTCTTCTACCATTCGACCAGATCTTCTAGATTGTATTTATCTAGTCTGATGTAGCTAATGTGACTTTCTCGATCTACATAATGTCTCCACATTTCATTGTTATTATGGAAAATCTCTATACCTTTTAAAAAATTTTGGGACTGTGATTGCAATTAATTTTTTCTTTTTGTTTTATTTCAAGAGGGGTATATTCGTCATTTTATAATTTTTAATTGAGAAAATAGGTGAAAAGAACCTTTTGGGCAATGAAATGTGGAAATAATGGTGAAAATGCCAAAAATGAAAGGTAGAAACATTTCCACAATAACAATGAAAGGTGTGAACGTTATATTCTAATTACCTCTTCTAAAATTATGTTTTTGGGAGGATGTAATTGAAAATGGATTTGAGAAAAAATTAACTTTCGAAAGAAAAAAGCTTTGAAACAAGGATTTAATCATTAAGAAACACCAAGCTAACCAATAGTCCATTTTTGTTGAGATTCATGTTGGTTACCAAATTTAAACTTTATTTCCGATTGATTAATGTATTCACAATATCTATCAATCTGATTAATGGAATCGATTACATGTCAATCTAGTAATAAGTTAAATAAATCGTCACGTCGATTTTTGTTTAGGATATAGATAAGTAGCCAACTTAAAATAATTTCTAAATTGTGATAAATTTGAAATAAAGTTGAAGTTCATGCCTAACATGAAATTTTGTTAAAATTTAATTCACACTATACCTAACACGAACGGGTTAGTAAAAATCCAGGTTAAGGGTTCGAGGATTGATATACATCCATGCCAAGAAAAAAATAATTTAAAGAGGTATTCTAAAATACCTCCATTTTTAAATTATATTTTACTTTTTACCTTTTTTTTTTTTGGTATCTTTTCATTTGTAGTACCACTTCATGTGTGTGTGTCCATGGTAAAAATAGAGGTTCTGAAAATGAAAATGCAAAAACCTTTTTTTTTTTTTTTTACGTATCCAAAACTTGACCTATTAGAGAAAATAAAATGATATATAAGAATTATTGTTATTAATTTCTCTTCATTGTATTCATATTTCGAAAGTTATCATAATTTTTAAAAGAGATTCATATTCTGATAGTGTTTTTAGAAGAAGTCACGTTGGATTAACTTTCTTTAAAAACTCTTTTAACTGAAAAAAAAAAAAACACTTTTATAAATAGTTAGACGGGTTCAAAAACAACTTTTAGATCTCACAAGCTCTTTTTAACTTTTTAAAAATCATACCAAAAGAACCCTAAAATAATATAACAGTGAGGGAGGGAGGGAGTTTGATCATTGTCGTTTTGTATAGAAATTTTTATTTTTGTCTCCATTTAGTCACCAAAGATTTTTATGAAGCAAATTCACTCTTGTAGTGAATGTGTGTATAAGCATATCTATATCAATTTTCAATCGAGCACATTTAAAAATCAATAAGATAGTATCATAGGTTACACATTATATTTGAGTTTCATCGACTAATTCATCAAATGATACTAGTAAGAGAGATTGTTTATGATGGAATAAAGCGTTTCTCGACTACCATCGATCCAATCATTATAAAAGTGAATGTTGAGGATTTTGAACAGTAAGAATGACAGTAGGTCAGGGCAAATTGACTCTCCTATCCCCCTCGTGTTGGGATTTGTGGATGACAAGGCAGGGACAAGGATTAAATAATCGAGAAAAGCTCCTTGTACAGAAGCTCTTTCACAGAAGTTCTCCAGAAATTTAAAATGAACTGACGTGGCACAAACAAAAAATTGAAAAAGAGAAAAAGGAAAACAAAACGACAAAACGCATTGAAAAGGTGAAAAAAAAGAAAAGAAGACCCGGTAAACCCATTTCCTCCCGCCACTCAGATTTCCTCCCGCCGAAAGCTTGAAGAGATTTCCATTTCCCCTACCGAATAATCGTCTCTCCCCGCCGTTGAAGTTAGTAGATCGTCTCTCCCTGCTGAATCAACGTGTAGCTGCTTACCCACGACATCAACGTGTAGCCGCTTCCCCAAATTGGAATTGTCACTCCTCGGCTTTAAGGAGATGGTGATGCCCAACTCCGATGACGGCCAAAACCGGTCTTCACCAAATCTGGAAAACGAAAGAGAGTGACATTATGTTCTCTTCCCTATTTCTGAGGTTTTTCTCTTGGTGAATAATGTGTTTGTTTTGGTACCCAATGATTGAGGAAATATGCAATTTATTCGACACATGATTGCATTATGTTTTTAAGACAATTTCTTGGAATAGAATGATATTAGTTGTCCTAAAACCCACCAAATCATTTAAGTTATTCTATCAAGGAAAATGTAAGTCAAAGTTGTAGAGATATGAGGTAATAGACTTCGAATGAATCCTTACATCTCGGTAAGAATTAGTACACACGTTTACGACAAAGCACATAAAATTCACATTTTGGAATCCCCTATTCAACTGACAGTGGTTTATGTTTGTGGGCAATGTCAACGATTTAAGTAGGTGTTGATTGTTTGTAGGCAATGTTAACGTTACGTTTTGCAATTATCTATTCAACTGAAAGTGTTTTTTGTTTGGGTTATTTGTTGTTTGATGGATTGACGACAGCCCGCGACGCCGATAGGAATTGAGGATTTCAAATCAGCGGGGATTTGTTTGGGAAAGTGGAAGGTGTATGTGGGAAGAGAAAAGTGGAAGGGGCTTTTCTCATTGTTCTCTTTCTTCATGTGTTCTGATTCTTTAAAGATTTTTTTTTATTAAATTGCTTGCCAGCTCATCTGGTGTATTTTTGTTGGGTTCCTTCTGTACGTGTAGCAGCGTCGTAAATAATCCCTATTTTCTAACTTCTCATCCTATTTCTCATTTTGTTTTAAATACCATTTAAAGCATGTCAGAAGTGATTATAATTTAATTTTTATCCATACATTTCGTATAGGACCAACAAACATTTGGTAAGCCTGTTTGGTGCACATTAAAATGAGAGAATGCATTTTTTGAAGTGATGTGATGGGGAATATGTGGTTGAAAAAGAAGGAAAAGTTATTGATGTGATGAAAAATATTATTTTATTGAAGAATGTGTGGTTGAAAATGAGTAGAAGAATGAGAATAGAATGCATTTTTTGAAGTGATGTGATGGGGAATATGTGGTTGAAAAAGAAGGAAAAATTATTGATGCGATGAAAAATATTATTTTATTGAAGAATGTGTGGTTGAAAATGAGTAGAAGAATGAGAATGAAAAAATAATGTGGGTCAAACAGGGGCTTAGTAAAGAATAAAGTAAACTAAAAATTCAAAATCAAATTCAAAATCCACAATTAATTTTTAATCCATCTTAATTAAACATATTAGGGCTTTAAACAGTCATGTTCAGCCCGTATAAAACTATATATGTGATGTTTCACTTCTCAATGGCTAACTCAAAATTTCAAATTTCAAAATCAGGATCAAAACCTCCTCGTCTTGGACATTCAACTGATTCAAGCACAACCTCCACCGCCACAACCCACCCACCCCACCCCACCCTACTCCGGATCTTCCATTCACAGTTCTTACACAAAACGGGTGGCAAAGGTTGTGGAAGAATACCCTGAAGGAAATTTTCAAAAATGGAAGAAAAACAAGTAGAAATAATCGAAATAGATGATTATAGCCCTTCCCCTGTGTCCCAGAAAAATGGCACTCCTTTAAGATCCATTGTTTGTGTGAGAAACAGAGAGCATATTAAGTACTTCGAGAAGACGGAAGATTGTTTTATTTTGGAATTTGATCCCAATGATTCTTTTGATATTTTGAAACTTTCGGGTTCTAAGATTACTGAAAGTGGCGATTCCCCTGATTTGCATGTTCTTGCTGAAAAAGGCCAGGTAATCCCTCAATAATCTTATGATTCTCGTCCATAAGTATGAATTATGCACTTATATCTAAATATGATTTATTTGTGAACTGCTTATTCTTGATTCTGAGGGCATGTTTGGCTAAACTTAAAAAGTAAACGTTGTTCTTAAGTAAATTTTTTTTTTCCAAACATGTATGAATTACTCGACCTTAATGTCAAAATTACTTATTTCTAACTTTGAACATCGTGACATAGCCAAACATGATATGGGCATCAATGATTTTTGAACTAGCTTATTGTTAAATAAGTGTTTTTTGAATTTATGTTTTGAACTATACAAATATAAAGAGGCATGATTTATCTATACATTGCCATTGTGAGAAACTATGCATAAGCACACTGGATGATAGGCATTGTGGATTCAAAGACTCATTGGTTAAATTTCGTTCGAGATAAAAAATTTTTGCCAGATGAACTTTAATTGTGGAATTCTTCTGTAATTTGAATTTGAATTAGTTGCACCATTCATTATTTGTTCATGTTTTGAAGCATTGGTTGTGTACACTTGATGCTAGTGTCGAAACTTGTAGTTATTCAGCTAGTTGAATCTTAGGAACTATATCTGAAGTTTGTGGAAATTGATGGTATGAAAAACCTAGGATTTAAACGATTTAGTTTTAGGATCTTTCGTGTAGTAAAGGTAGTCAAAACTATGTGGGTTGGTTGATATGCAAGTCCATGACTATGAAAATTAGCTTCTCATAGAGCATTCGGTACCTTCATAGAAGTATACACTGAGATTTTATATTTTTTACATGTAGTATTAGTATGGATCAAGTGGTGGTGTAATGAGGAGCAATATCTAGACTCATGCATTAACATTTCGTTTTCATTATTAACGTAATTTTTCCCCTATAAATTTTGTTTGCCTGAGTAGGTGGCGTGTAGAGATTACCCTCATTCGAGGCACAATTGTGGGAAATATTCTTTTGAGAAGACGCCTCACATCAGCCACTGTGAATTGGTAATATTATTGATGAGTAATTTGATCAATAGTTTTGCCATTAAAAATTTGGATACTCTGTTTATATTCAAAAGCGTGTTTGCTTGTGCAGTGCTACTGTTATGTATGTGATGTAGCTGCTCCTTGTAAAAAGTGGGATGGAGCATCGGGACATTGCCATGCATTCAACAATGAATCTTGGGATAATGAAAGGAAATTGAAGAGACTAGTAGACGTGATCACGAAATGAAATGGATGATCCTCCATTGCAAAAAGACAAGTTGTGAAGACTGACAAGGGCCGTTCCCTGATTTTGTGAATTTTAGTGATGCCTATATATCTAGGCATATGGTGTATGGTGTTGGCGCTTGAATATGTGAAATCTGCTCATTAGTGTTGCCTAAGCTCGAGTAGAGTGTGTGATAAAGTTCTACCCATATTAGTATGCGGATTATAGAAGTCATGCTTCACTAGCCTCCACCCCTTTTGGTAAAGTATTATTTATGTGCTAGCAGTCGGAGTAAAGTTATGAACCGATACAAGGTTTTCGTATTAAACGATAATTTGTATCGACTTGTCTAACTTTATACATGCTTTTGTTTGTTTGAGGAGAATGAGGATGACTGTTCTTGTCCAAAATACATTCTTCATATGATAGAAATCTTAGTACTGTGAATATGTGATAAATCTTGCAAGTTCAGCGGATTATCTTTCTGATATGTGCGGGTAAATTATGCTGTGAATGCAGTGGTTTTGATTTCATGGAGCATACGATGAGTTATAAATAATGGAGAGATGTTCGATTGTTCGAAAGCTTTTTATGATGAGATACTATGTTCATGTTTGGCTAAGCTTTAAAAATGACTATACTCTTAAAAATAACTTTTTTACCAACAAATAAGGTAATCAATTCAAACATGTTTATGGCCATGCTGGCCCGGATCAATGGGCCTATCAATTTTTTTGGGATAAAGTAGTGGAATAATTAGGGGGAAAAATTCACTTTCCCTACTTTATCTTTACCCTAATTCAAAAATAACAAAACAACTTTTACATTTCAAAAATCAGATTTTTTAACCTATATATACACATATTTATAAATATTTATTTATTTATTTAAATATATAAAAAGATATAAATAAATAAATAAATATATAATATATATATAAAATTAACCCACCCCCACCACCACCACCCCACCACACCCGCGACTGCTCCGGCGACCACTCCGACGACGTCTCCGATTCCGACGACTTCTCCGGCGACCACTCCGATTCCGGTGACTATTCCGGTGACTGCTCCGATTCCGACGACTATTCCGATGACATGAATTTTTTGTACGGTCACAGTCCAGGTCACAGTTCAGGTCACAAGTCACAGTCCAGGTCACAACCAAGGTCACATGTCACAACACATGATTTTTTGTTTATAATAATTGATAACACAATAAGGCTCACGTCTAACATTTTTATTAATAGTCACATATTATTTTCAAATGGTCACAGCACAAGTCACAAAATATATTGTACATGACTCACGATTTTGTTTATAGTCCCATTTTATTTTCAAATGACTCAAATTCTGGTTGATAGTCACAAGTTTATTTCAAATGGCCACAGCACAGGTCACAGAATATTTTTTGGGTATTGCTCAGGTTTTTATTGATAGTCACAGCATCGGTCACAGTACATGGCTCACGTCACGGCACATGGCTCAGGTCACGGAACAAAACCCACCAATTACAAAACCCACTGCACAAGCAGCACAACGCGTCACGAAACACAATATAGATTCAAACAACTGCCGCCCGCACCACCAAATCCACCTGCACCACCGCCGCCGCCAAAGCCACTACCACCTCACCCCACCACCACCGCAACACCACCAAACACCACGGGAAACCACCACTTCCACCACTAACAGTAATGCAAAACCCACCGCACAACGCCGCAAACCACTACAGAAACCTCCACAATAGGCAACTCACCAAGCCAACCACATCCACCACCGCCAGATCCAACATACCCCATCAGATCCACCACCACCACCCTACCACAATAACTAACATCGCCAACACTGCCGCACCTCATCACAAGCGTCGCGACCGCCGACAACCCATAACCCACCATCCCGCAGACACTAACGACGCCTCCACCACCACCCACAACAAGAAAAAAAGCAGCGCCGCTCAGATCTGGACGTACAACGTCGTAACTTCCACCACGCACCGCACATAACTTCCACCACCGCAACGCACAGATCTAGCCACATCGTCGCTGATTGACATCTCCGATGTCACTGGAACGAGAAAGAAGAAGTGTCGGTCGGCCTTGCGAGTCTTCAACAGGCGCCACCAACAGCAACCAGCCACTACGACCCCGCCGCCTCTTCCATGTCGCCGGTGAGTGAGAGGAGAGGAGAGGAGTGAGAGATAGAAACGTTGTTTAGGTTTGAAATTAATTTAGGGGAGGGGTGGGTGCATATATATTAATTTTTATAATAATATTATTAATATTTAATTAAATATAATAAAACCTGTATCTATTTATAAAAATATCTGATTTGTGAAAAATAAAACTTGAGATCTGATTTTTGAATTCAGATCTCCAAAAGTAGGGAATAGAGTAATTTGCACATAATTAGGTCCACCATGTTCAAAGCACTGTGAGGTGTTTGAAATTCGTTATACGACTTGTATCAAAATCTTTAGCAAAAAAATGGAGAAAAATAGAACTAGGCTCCTCAACCTTCATACAGTATGGTTATGGCTCTCTAATATTCAAAAGAGGGGTTCTCGATCACAAACCTATTTATACCTGGGTCTTCACATGAACAAATCAGTCAATGTTACACGACTTTCATGTGCCTTGAAGCTAGATGGCAAAAAAAAGTCAAATTGCTTAATATTTATTTTTAATTCAATTGCAACTTCGACGCAATTTTAATATTCATATTGACTGTTTCAATAACTCAAGTACCAAAATTCACATAATTAAGTAGGCTGAACTCATAACCACATTTTCTAAAATTGAAAACCCATAATCACACCGCACAAAGTTTGGTCTTGTATCCCCGTTTTGCCAAAAAAATATGTTACCAACTTTTAAAAGATAAAAATAGAAAGGAAGGGTGTTAAGATTTGAAGTTCCATTTTAAAATGTCAAAATTGTTAAGAGGAGTAGTTTAATCCTTTATAAGTTGATTTATGTTTTCATCTTTATTCGATGTTGGATTCTATCTCTTAACATGCCCCCGCAAGATGGTGGCTCGTTTGAGCAGACTAATCTTGAAATCCGTGTGCTCATTTTTTTGAGTCTTAATCGGATCGAATTGCTCATTTTTTTGCTCGTTAAAATTTGGAGTTCCATCTTAAAAAGTCAATCTTGTTAAGAGGAGTAACTCAATTCTTTATAAGTTGATTTATGTTTTCATCTTTATTCGATATGAGATTTTATCCCTTAACACAGGGCAACAATGCACTCTCCAACCCCATTTGAGTCCTAGACCTCCCCTCCCACAAACGAGTAATGCTACAAGTACATATTTACTTATTGACGACGTGACAATGTATTAAAATTTGAAAGTTATTCGGTTTATGTAGGTAGGGGTGTAAGCGATCCGATTTTATCGATTTTTGACAAATTTTCAAACCAAATTGTTTTGACCGATTTGAGAAAAACTCAAATTTAAACCAAACCGTTTTGACCATTTGAAAAAAACTCAAACCTAAACCTAACGGTTTGGTCCGATTTTAACCGCCGGTTTCGCGTAAATTTTTTTGCCTGTCTAGTGCCTAATTTTATGCCATTAATTCAATATATATTTATATCTTACTAGCAATAAATCTAAAACAAACTAAATTTATCTACTATAAATTTAAATACCAACGAAATCAAAGTAAAATCACAATAAACTAAAACATAG